ATATATATATATATATATACATATAAAAGTTTGGATTCATTCGAAATAGTAAGATTTTTCTGCCAAAAATATCCTTCTTACTAAATAAGGAAATTTTTTTGAACATTTTTTTTTACTTTCTTTTTAAATTTTCTTTTGGTAATTTTTTCTTTAAAATCAGTGATGTGACTTTTATTTTTATTTAGACAATGTGATATCAATAAATGATCTAAAATTATTGATTAACTTTCTAAAAAAATTTTAATCAATTATTTTATTACTATCTAATCTATTTTTATTTTTATTTTAGTAGTGATATCAATAATTGAAAATAAACTTTTAAAAATTTTAAAAATAATTATTCAATTTTCAACTAATCTAAATTTTTATTTGATTTGAAATATAAATTAATGGATACGTTTATTTATTAATCACTCAAAAAATAATCATTTATAAATTTAAAAAAACTACATTGGAAATTTAAAATAATTCCTGAAACACATAGATGAAAAAGTTTCCTAACTATAATTTTTTTTTTCTACTTGATTTCCATATTGTTGTCTTTTTTTTCTTTTTAATTATCAAATAATAATGTAATTTTTTTAAAGCTTAATTATATATTTATTTCTTACCCATTTTTTTCTATATCAGATTAAATTAACTTTCATTATTTGCGAGATACTCATATTGTATGTATAAATAAAAATAACTTTTTTAAAGTCTTAATAAATTTACAAGTTAATATTGCATATAAAAAACGAACTTAAATTTATTATTTAATAATGATTTACAAATAAGAAATTAGTCTCAAGTTATTCATACAAAGAAATATAAATTAATAACAAATTGTATTTAGTATAGGATAATCTTAAATAGTAATTAGTATCTTTATCATTCGTGAATTTAATAAAAATTATAAGTACAAATTATTTTAAGGATAAGTATATGCAATATTAACATAAGAAACTAATGGGTCATTTGTGTAACTGGCACGTAAATTACTAGGATTATGAAGAATCAAAATATTTATAACATGTTTTGTTATACCAATGAGTCATCTATCCAACTATAGCAGTAAATTATAAGTTTAAAAAGAAAATTAAAATATATATATAAAATATATTGTTACAAACTACAATG